AACAGGGTAAATAAGCGCTTCACAACATCACATCACAATATCACCTTTGGCTCTTGATGATTGTGATGGACATATTTACCTATTTACTGACGTTTTTTGCTGAAAAGATTAATCAACAATGACAATGAACTGGTAATGAAAAGAAATGTTAGTTCAGGTTTTCAAGTACAGCCCATACAACCACTGATACAGCAACATTACTTGGCCTGACCTGGAAAATACCATGTTTATTGACCAGTCCACCATCTCCTCCCACTGAATTTGCAAATTCAGGTCAGATCTCACAATGCAGGCAAAGTTGAGATGATAAAAATGCTTATTAATACAAAGTTTGAATGTAAAAACCTGCAATCACATGTCATTATCCAGGTAATGTGTCCAGATACAGATCACATGTTCAAAACTTAACAAACACATAAACTACTACAAACAAAAAGTGATTCACTGAAATATCCTAAACCTGAATCACTACATGAATTTAGAAAGAAAAACTTACATACATTGGAGTTCTGACCTTTTAACCTCTCTCTCTCTCCTCTCTCTCTCTCTGCTGTAGTCTCTTCACCACCCAGACAGCCATGTGGGCGTCATTTAATCTCCTCCTTGTCCCGCTCTGTTCCTGCACACTTCCTGCCCACTCTCTCTCCTTTCAGCCCCTCGCTGATCATTAACCTCCCTCCTTGTTGCACGCCCACGCCGCTCGTCCTGATTTCGTCCTGGCGGCGGGATGGCGGTGCGTCTGCTGTCAAGCCCTTCACAGAGGCTCTGGAGGGGAGAAATGGATGAGGGCTTCATTGGAGGCAGTTATAATGGGGGCATAATTGTTGATGGGAAGGTGTGCAGACTGTGAAAGAGACACCTCATGAGCAAATATGGGAGAAAGACATTAAGTGATTTTGCTGTTTGCCCTTAAAGGGTAAGAATAAGACAAGAAAGAAGGAAAGAAACTCATACTGGAACAATTTAGGATAAAAGATAAAGATTCCTTCCAAAGAATACACTGAAACACAAACCCTATGTCAAAAATCCAACCATGTGTAGAGTTGCAGGCCATTGTTCTATACACACATTCACAGAGAGAACATTGTATTGTCGTCAAAGCTATCCCTGCTTCCCGTCCTGCTGGATCGGCAGGGTTTGGCCAACCAGAAGGCCTCCTGTCTGCCTTAACCTCATTTCTATAACAGATCAGCTCATTCATTCAATTAGCAAACACACACACTCACACACGTGCACTTGCACATGCACATCCAGCCATCAGAAATCTATGGCGTCCCAATCCAATTGTTGAAAAGTAAACTGATTCCCAAACGTCTCTGCGATTGGGCTCTTTGATCAATAGAAACCTTTTGATCCATTAAAAGATTTCCTGTGTCCTGTTAGGAAAATGTGCAAAGGAGAGATATAGCCAAATCATTAATCTCTAAAGTGACGATCTGTGTTATTGATAACTGGGCGGAAGGATGGACGAAGAAAAGGGAAAAGATGATCAAAGCTGATGGGAAACTCACTGCAAAGCATCTTTAAACGGAGAGGAAAAATGAAGCTCCAGCCTGTCAGCGTTGGATGTTCCAGCGGAGGTCAGCGAGTCAGTCAATCAGCCACACACTGACAGATTCAAATATCAGAGCTGAGCAGCTGGCCCTCAGCACAGTGTTACACTCACTGTAGCAACAAGATGTTCACAGCAGATTTACAATCTAAGTTAATAAATCCTTTCTCTCAAAAACTGGCAGAACATAAAGCTTCCACCTTTGTTTTTCCTGTTCTTATGCTATGGTTTACTGTGTGCTGCGGTTTCGAAACACAGCTTAATAACAACTGTGGTCAATAAACGGACTGGTTTGGTTCTTGTCTCACGGTGATGATCCTGTATTTTTACAGAGAAGTTGAGTGTAACCCTGACATGAAGTGGAGTTTAATTCGCCCTGCTGAGCTCCAAGCATGAAACCAAATGTGTAAACCCAGAGCTTTGTTTAATAAGGATGTCCTTTTAAGGGATAATTCTAGTTTATTACAACTTTGGTTTCTTATTTGTGGATTTTTCCATCATTTCTATCCATAGACAGGCAAAGTCCCTCTCTTCCAGTGGATCAACATGGGACCTCAGTTCAGGAAAGATATGTACAGTAGTCAGACAACTAAATCTTAGATCCTGTTTGAATTGTGCCATGAATTACATGTATGATGTTTTTCATTTTAAAAGATAATTTTGCAAGTCAAAGAAAATACACAGTTTGTCATAAAAGTGAAAGTATTGGACTGTGATAATAAGAACAACTGTACAAGTCGCATGCGTGATGTCAACAGGAGCAACAGGTCTTGATTGTACATTTAATTCCTGGCTGATGAAAAGACCAAGAGTCACTGGATAAAACACATCAAGTAAGATAATGTTACATTTGTGCATGGAACATACAAGTTTCCTAGCTAGCTTGCTGGTGTTGGTGACATACATTGTGCAAGATGAGAAATGTAGTTCACTGAACGGTTCCACACTAAACTAAATCCTTCTATGACAACCTGTAACTTTCTTGACTTAAAAAAGTATGTTTTACACTGACAAACATCTTATGTGTAACGTGTAATATGGCACACTTCAAACAAGATTTGTCTATACCGTACCACAGACTATACTGTATATATTTTTTCTGGAATAAGGTCCCATGGGAGACACCATGAGGGGAGGGACTTCTCTTTATTATGCTAACATTGTACTCACCAAATTTCTGAGATCTGCAACTTAAGTCAGATGATTGTATGTCCTCGCCAAACTTGTTGGGAAAAGAAAACAAAGGTGACAGTAAAATTGTTACCCAACTGTCAAACTGTCTGTTGTTATTAATTCAAGTTTTACTACCAAATAAAGACATAAAGTGGTTTCAGTAATCTAACTAAACTGTTTGGTTCTTTAACACAGCCTGATATCTGGCTGCTCATGTTTTTCTTTCATGTAATATTTTGATTGTTAAATTAAATAACACTCACAGTTAGATGGTTAAATCTCTAAGTAGATCTGCAGTATAGGTGTGTTGTCAGTAAAATACACCAGGTGCAGTGTTCCTACAGATCCAAGTCCTTTTCCCCCAGATTAGACCCCTCGGGCCTGAAATCATTCTTTGGGCCTTCTCAGTATCTGTGTGGTCCCACTTGGGTCACCAGATCTTATAACTGATTTGAGTGATTTCCAGATGGTGTTTTATCTGTGATCCATCTTTAAGATATATTTTTATGTGCAGTGTAAGAGAAAATTCATTTAATATTCTCTGGCCTTATTAAAATCCCTGTGTATAAAGTATCGAACTCTTTTCTTTGTCATAAACTGGACTTCATTTTGATGGTGACGGATAAAGAAATGACCATAATCATTCACCAAATATATGTTCCTTCAAGTTATTCACAGACCAAGAAATGTACAATATGTCATCCTGCAGAGTGATGTTACATGTTGACTCCATAGAGGTTGAATTCCTTCTTAGAGCTATGAATAAATGTCTGATAAACAAGAAACACTACAATCGGAGTAGTGCTGCGTAAAAACTATCAACACCAATCACAGATTAAAACACACGAACAATCATTGTAGCCTATTTATTAAGCAGGTCTACAGCCCAAACTGAAATAATGTGACATACGTGAAATGCCTGTGAATCCGCAGACCAGTGCAGACCACTGTTAGTGACCAACAGACAACAAACCCAGTTGTGATTTTGCAAAACATTGCTGTGTTCTAAGTGTTTTTTTGGCACCAAATGAGGGTATATTGTAGCGACATGTTGCTGTTTTTCCAGCAACTTTTTGGACCAAAAAAGCAGTTGTTTTTTAAAGCAAGACATTGCTGGTTTTCCTGCTGGGATAGTGCTCCAAAAAGTTTTCTTACTGAGACATCACTGTTTTTCTAGACAGGATAATGGCCCAAAAAAGCAGTTGTTTTTGCTGAGACATTGCTGTATTTTTCTGCCGCGATTGTGGCCCAGAAAGTAGCTGTTCTTTTTTTACTGACACTGCTGCTTTTCCTGGCAGGATAGTGGTCTGAAAAGCAGTTGTTATTACTGAGACATAGCTGTTTTTCCTGCTGAGATAGTGGCCCAAAAAGTGCTTGTTGTTTTTTTACAGAGACATCGCTACATTTCCTGCAAGGAGTTTGTCCCACAAATGGGTTACTTTAATCCAAAATATGATCTTTTCAAGGTGTTATTTTGTGCCTAAACCTAACCACGTTAACCACGGCATTGTTGAAACATGTAGTTTCAATGTATCTGCTACATACAAATATTACATATCCGTGGTTTGCAGAAATGTACAATGCCAACATGTTTTTTCTGGCAAGTAGGTTGGGTCATAATCAGGTTATAAATATTTTTCTTTAATCAAGAAGTCATGAAGCAGCACGATAAAATAATGTTAGGTGTGTTTCACAACAACAGTTACACTCATAGTGTCCATACCACCTGCAGCAGTATGGTAAGCATCACGGAAGTCATGGCAGCACTAAAGCTGTACGATTGTGAGTTATGTTATTAGCTTGCTGGCGGCTGTATGGAGTATAGTATACCAGAGGTTACAATTAGAAGCAGAGCAGTGTAGGTTTGTTTCTGTGTGATTTGGCAGTGAGGAGGTCTGGAAGCAGCAGGCTGGCTCACAGCTCCTCTTTTATTCTCTGCCTCTCTCTTTGCTCTGACAGATCCGTGCTGATATCAGATTGATGGGCCGGTTTGATTGAAGTCTCTTTGTCGTGCTAATGTCACGGCGAGTGATGGATGAGGCGCGTGCGTCAGGGCGAGCGCGCGCGCGCAACTCCACTCCTGAACCGAGAGGCCCCCCCTCCCCTACACACACACACACACACACACACACAGTGGTCCCCCCGTTTCTGTGACCGGCTGACAAACTTCTGTCCTCCGGTCACCATAGGCGACGTGACGACGAGCCACGTGACCGTCGGCAGAGGTAAGAAAAGAAGTGACCAGGAAAAGAGAGAGAGGAGAGAAAGAGAGTGACGGAAAGAGGGGAAAGCAGAGATTTTAGAGAAATAAACAGAATGGAAGAGGACGGAGTGTAACCTGTGTGGAAGGGGAGAGGTGACTTGACTCTTTTCTGTCTTCTCGCGGTGTTTATCTGCTGTCCCCGTGAAGCCTTTGGGAAACGCAGGTTGAGTAGAGCTATTGACAGCGTAAGGCCTTCCGTTTACAAACACACGCACACACTGACACACACCACAGCAGAGCACATTATTCATGTGTGTTTCGGCTTTGGGGACGTGCAGATCCCACTTTCTTTCCTCCACCTTGGAAGTTCCTGCTGGTTTTATTTCGTCCAGTTTCGCTGAAAATTTCCTATTCGATGCGTTTCTCTCTATCTCTTTTTTAAAAAAAATATTTTCTTGTAGAGGTTGTTGCTTTTCTTGTGATTTTATTTGCCCATCAGAGGGATTTCACACTCCTGGAAAACATTTATAATGGATTTTTTCGATTTTTGATGTTTTTCAGGACTCATCTCTGTTAACTTTATCTGCGGCCTCCCGTTTCCTCTTGATCATTTAAACTTTGTTCAGCTCTACCGTGCCTCCGGTCTGCGCATGGACAACATGAACTCGTTTGTGGAATACTCCATTTGTAACCGACCGGGGACCAGCGCTTATTCTGCGCCTAAATCTGGATACCACCATCATCATCATCATCTGCATCATCATCCCCTGGATCAGCATCAGGTCTATCCAGTGACCTCCGGCTCCTTCCACACGGGACACACCGTCTCTCCAGCCCCCGTTAACGGCACGAGAAGTGACAGCAGCGCCGGGGCAGCGAGTTACTCCGGGGATGGGCGGCTGTACGGGGGCCCTGGAGGTGGAGGAACGCACGGGACCACAGGGGCGACCCAGCATCATCATCATCACGAGCAACAACAGCATCAGCAGACACACAACGGCTACCAACATCATCCTCACCTCCACCAAACCCAGAGCTTTCAAAGCGGAACACTGTCTCCATATAATAACGGGAATAGCGGCAACACCGGGGCCTATGCGGGCCAGGCGTGCGCCACAAACTCGGAGTATGCTAACGCGATAGGTCCTCCCAACACTGTTCACCCGCAATATTTCATGGAGGAATCTGTGGCCTCCACATACTATCATCAATCAACCTTCCCAAGCTCGGCCCCCACCGTCGGCCCAAGCTACGGGGCCCTGGCCGGGGCCTACTGCGGGCCTCAGGGCGCTCTGGCCGGGTCACAGTACCCGCAGCAGCTTGGCGGGGGTCTGGACGCAGCAGGCTACCTGGGGCTTTCACATGGGGGAGGTTACGGGGAACTACCGGTCTCCCAGGACCGAGAGAGGGGGGATGAGGAGGGCCAGCAGGCAGGGCAGGGGCAGACTTTCGACTGGATGAAGGTGAAGAGGAACCCTCCTAAAACAGGTAGGCCAACCCGGCTGGGCAGGTTCAGGGAAGGTGATTTTTTTCTGGCGATAATTGTTCCGTTTTGTGACTTAAAGTCATATTTAAAGCATTATAGAGGGGTTGGGCCTGCAGTTAGTCAGTTGCTGAGATCATATATTCAGTAGTGATCTGTGGGGTTTCCACAAGAAGAGGTGCAGTGGCCTCTTTTGCATTTATCATAGTGGCTGTCATGGGAAACACTGCAGCCAATAAGAGCTGTAAAGCTGAGATGAGAGGGAAAAGAAAAACAAAAACGTGGCTTGTAATCAGCAAAACAACGTGAAAAGAAAAACTTAGGGGAAGGCTCTTACAGTTGTTATGATTAGAATTTTTAGTAACAATCCTCACATCTGAAAATAACGGGATTCATATTGGCCTGAAGTGTAAAAAATGTTATTTCCCCCGTAGGCCTCAGTTTCAGATTTCGTTGTGTACACAGATGTCAGGCTTTATGTAAATGTTACTTTCCATCTGCTCTTTCCTTTTCACTCTTTTCACTTGTCTCAGTCACTCAGGTCTCAATTCGTTTTACTGTAAACCAACAGAGGACTGAGAAAAAGAATGAAGTGTTCCATCGATGTATTATTTTATTGTGGTTGTCCAATATAAAGACAGGCCGCAGGCACTACATTCAAAAAGAACGGTTTTATTATGGTTATGAGTATCATGATTTTATTTCACAAATCATTCAACACCAATAAAACTTTTGTTGGCATGGCTTAAACATTTCACTAAAAACAACTGCTACATTTTCAGTGCCATTAAAATTATTAATTTGCTCTATAATAAATAAAGTAAATGTATTATTCTTTTAAAATAATTTAGACGCCAGTTGGCTGCTATTTTTTTTTCAAGTGAAAAATTGAAGCTTTAATTAAAAATGTTAATATGAAATATCAACTTTTTTATATGTAGGCCTAGCTTATTGTAGGCTATTTATTAGTGTGTGACTGTGTGGGACATCAGATTTTGAAAAAAGTTTCATTTCCTCACCACGACTTAAAGTTGACTATTCACATTTTGTCGTTAAAAAATTAAATTAAAAGAAAAAAAATGCGTTTATGTGTTTTCAGGAAAGTCAGTTATTCAGTATGCCGTCATTGCAGTCGTATCTCAGGACAGATAGCAGGTCTGCCCCCCGACGTCTGATAGGTTTTTTTTTATTCTCTCTCTCGCTTTCTCTCACGTTAATGGATATAGCAGACGGGTTACCTCACCCTAGGAAGTCTGTCCTGCTCTGTTATCTTTAACCCCCTACCCCCACCCCTCCATCACACCCTCAGCTCCTCCATCCCTCCGTCTGCTCACCAGCCCCTTCCTTCCCCCTCCTTTGTGTTTCCCTCTTCTCGAACTTGATATTAAGCTTTTTTTCTTTTCTTTTTTCCAGTAAAATTTAGACTATTTCCATTTTGGTGCATTGGTTTGGAGATGACTTCAGTAGGCCCACAGATAGGCCTAATACATATTATAAATAATTATAAATATTATAAAAATAACACTGACTTTGCGGAGGCCTGATACAACCGACAGTCTGGATTTAAAACGCTTCATTATAGCTAAATTAATTCATATTAACGCAAATAAATATTAATAAATAATATGATGGACGCCAAGTCACACAACAAAAAGTACAGGAAGGTGAAAAGAAAAGAAGGATTTTAGGCAGGAGGAACTACCTCCTGATTTACAATGATCGTAAAAGGCACGAGGCTACAATGCTCCCAAACAAGAAGACATTTAATTTAAACAGACTTGCAGGCTTCTTCTTCTTCTTCTTCTTTTTTTTAAATAAAAAATGACTAAATTAATTAATATATCCAGTAAGTTCCTAGAATGCGTTTCTAACAGCTTCTCTCTCCTCCACACAGTCAAAGTGTCGGACTTCGGCCTCGCGGGCGCACACAACAACGCCATGCGCACTAACTTCAGCACGCGGCAGCTGACGGAGCTGGAGAAGGAGTTCCACTTCAGCAAGTACCTGACGAGGGCGCGGCGCGTGGAGATCGCAGCCACGCTCGAGCTCAACGAGACGCAGGTGAAAATCTGGTTCCAGAATAGGCGCATGAAGCAGAAGAAGCGCGAGCGGGAGGGCGCCTCCGCTACGGCGCGCTCATCTTCCTCCGGTACCGACAACGGTTTCAACAAGGACCTGGAGGACACCGATCACTCCTCCGCGTCCACGTCTCCAGGCGCGTCCCCGAGCTCGGAGACGTAGCCAGCGCGAGCAATGTGACTGGTTGTGCAGAGGTGTCAGGTGGCCTGCTGTCTTGTACCGCTGAGTGATGCGCTATGGAATGTATTCAGTCGTCAGTCTACTTCATCCACTTCTGCTTTGGTTACTTGGTGACTTCCTACATGTCCCAGAATTCCTCCTGAAAACCCACCAGCACCTGGAATTTAACATTCACTTTGTTTTTCATTTCGGTGGAGATCCAGAAAACTTTAATCAAACCTGTTTTTGTTCTGGTATATATGTGCTGCTTGGTCACTTGTATTTTAATGGGAGTTAAAAAGGGGTTTTCTTCAAGTATGAATATGAACTACAGTGACTAATTAAGACATAAAAAGCACAGCAGCAGGATAAACAATAAGCCTGGCATTGCTGATATTTTGAGGACGCAAGAGCTGCCCTGATGTAATGACAAAAAAAAGGGACCTGTGAAGCAACCAACTTAAGCAAACATACGGCATATACAGATGACTGGTGATGAAAGTTGTAGAAATATCAATAATGAAAAACCTCCCATAAATCTCTGACCACTTATCTGGAATGTCAAGTACATTTATTTTCCAGTCAAAGATTTTGCAAATTCTACCAAATCAAACCAAAACACCACTCTTGTGGAAGCATATTTCATGTTTTGGTGCAAAGACCAACCAGTTTGGGGTACCTTAATGTAGTGGATCCCAACCTGGAGTTTGGGACCTGGCACTGGGTCCAAAGATAAATCTGGAGGGTCACAATAATATAAGAGGGATACAAAAGATTTAAAAACAAATCTGTTACATTACATCCTGTTTATTCTCAGTGTCCTTTTTCAAAAGTAGTGGACAAGTCAACCTCACCAGGCCTCTAAATCCTTATTTAACAAAAAAAAGAAACAATCTGAGAAAGAAAAATGACTCATTGGTTTAACTGCTCACAATTAATGTCCACTAAACCATTTGCTGTTTAACATTGTGGTCAACTTTGCTTTTAGGGGGTCAAAAGGCAGGGCATCAGGCGTCATAGTGTAAGGAAAAGTTTGCTATTTTTAATTTTGAAGTAATAAGTACCATAACCACATTAAACTTGGCTGAATAAACTGATTAAAAGATGAAGCTCTCTGAGGCCCCTCTCACCCTTTAAAGGCACAACATGGTTTAGTCCTTATGCTGCTGGAGCACCAACATATATTATCATGTCTTTTCCCCAGAAAGGGAAATTGGGGTTCCACAAAAAGAAAAGAAAGAAAGAAAGCAAACTGACTTTGTACAAAAAGAATAAAAAAAAAAAAAAGATCAGTGAGAGAGACATGGACCCAGGGAGAAACTGTTGGGGCCCCTAGAGACTGCTTATGCATAGGGCCCAGAATTTGGTGCAACGCCTCCATCAAAAAAAGTTGGTAGCCCACCATTGCCTTCACAGACCTCTGGCAGTAACTTTCTGACAGCATGGATCACACAATCAAAACCCAATGCCTTTTGTAGAAAGAATGTCTTCAGGGACAGTTTTCTTGAGATAGTATGTTTTGGAGAAGCTGCTTGTTGTACTGAAATATCTGCTGAATTATTGTTGGACACAAACCTTTTAGGAGTGCTGAAGTTTAGACAGACACACATATTTGAGATGTTTCTCCTTTAACCAGCACAGCACAGTGAAAATAATGTCTGGTGTACAGGGTGATGATAATGATGATGATGATGATGATGATGATGATAGGATGCACTTGGCCATCTTTATATAATGTCTGTTTTACTGGTATTGGGTTATTTAAGGTGGATAATAGGCCCACAGAATTTCTGTTGATATTTATGTTCCATGTTTTTTGTTTGTTTGGTTGGTTTTTTTGGCCACAATTTCTGTAGAAACTCAGTCCATGACATAGACTGAAATCATTATGAGACACTAAAACTTGACAGAAAGCCTTCATGATTGATATCAATGAAAAGCAGCTCAGAGATACCAAATTGCATCCACATGACAAATCAACATACAGAATCTGTTAATTAATTTTGTAAATTCTGACAGGCTGCGGTCCATCTGTAACCCATATACCAGCCTGAGCGCAGCCTAACTAAATGAGCCTTATGATCAGGAACACAGGGAGCCTCTGATGGCAAAAATACACTTCTGTCCAGTTTATCTGGGTGTAGCTATTTTTTTGTTTCACATCTACCTTTATAACATTTAACATTGTTTTATTTTTGAATGTTGTGTATGACTCAGCCCATGCAGCTCTGGCCTTTGCACTATGTGACTACAGGGTACATTTTCAGACAAAGTGCACAAACACAATAAAATGTAATATTTTGTTTCTGTCAGTTTTTATGAATGATGAAAAAAGAAAAAGCTGTAACACTTTTACAGTCTGATTTACAGGATTTTGTCGTGAACATGTTAGTTAGACTCAGGGGATAGTGTGTGTGTGTGTGTGTGTGTGTGCGCGCACATTGGGTCATGATTAAAGAAAACTACTGTGAAAAAATGTTGAAGCCTGTTCGGCACAGATGTCATTCCTGAATGGGAAAAGTGGGGAAATTATATTTTACTGCCTGCTCTTCCCCCTTGAGAATAAATTATTGGATGCATTTTATGTTATTGATTATAGATTATGGGGAACATGTGTATGTGAAGGGGGTGTTTTTCTTGTGAATGTTCTTGTTACTGCTGAAAGTCATGATAAATACTATATGTGAATAGTTTTTCTCCTCATCACTCAGGAGTAAATCTCTTCATATGTGTAATATTGTCAGGTTAAAGCTCGGCCTGTGAACTGATGATATTTTTTATAATGATGTCTGTTTTTTTGAATTGAGAGCAGATCGACTGAGTTTTATTAGTTCTGCTGCCTTAGAGATATTCCCAATCATGCTCCTGTCTGTCTTTTTCTACTTTAAGCTACCTCAATTAAAGATTCTTCTGTCAACCCACTGCATTGTGCTCCTGATTATATACTCTTTACACTGACCATAAACTGTTATGTATGACATAAATTCATCGATTCAAAAATGACAGAGATTTCCTGCAGCATCCAACATTCCCAGCATTTGAAAGCTATGTAAACATCTCTGATCCTTGGCATGTTCCAGGGGCCCTGTCAAACCACAGAAAACATTTTGGTACCCTACCAAATTCCAACAGAACCACAGCTTTCTGTAATATAACAAATACAACATGTCAGGATACAAAAAACCCTTCCATCAGTTTCTCTGAGGGAAGGGTTAAAGAAAACCCTAACCCAAACACCTTGTGGTTATTGGATTAATTAAAAAAAAAAAGTTTGGGAATAGGCACCACTGAGCACAAAATCCAAACCTATGTTCTACTTTTACATACTTCAAATTTGCAGCAAAAAAAAGTTGTAAGGATATGCTGCCTGGTTCATTTTTTCTGTCAACTTAATGATGAAATCTTATTAACATATCTGTCAGGGTTCAGTATGTTCATTCTGAAGAGTAAAATAATTGCTGACAACACGTCTTTTTTTCCTGGGAAAATTTCTAATCTTGCAATATAATAGCTGCTCCTAACATCTATAGCAGTATAACTTCTTATGGTTATGTTTAGGCTTTCACAACACTTAGATCAGGCTGCTCTAATGAACTGTTCCTACATATACCTCCAATGCACAATAATTGGTCATGCAATCACAAGCCAGTAATTTCTGTATAACCCATGTAATCAGGAAGGCAGTGATCATGTGACCAATGTGCTGACTGGAATAAAGAAGTTAGTGGTACAGAGATCAACAAGTTTTTCGTAAAGAGACAAACAACAGGAGACCAGTGTTCAGAAAGATGCGAAACCAAGTGAGCCCTGAATTATCCTAAGGTATGTCATCACCACGATTCTTTTCCTAAACATAACCTATGTAACTTTACGATCTGTAACATATTTCAGAAGTGACCTTCCCAACACTGGTCCTGCTTTATTGTTTAGTCTATACTGATATTAATATGAAGAAGAGTCCTGTACCACAAGCTAGGTTTATGACTCTCATTACTTCAGGATTGTGTTCAGATTTTTCATAACTTGGGACCCCTTGCTGAAATACTCAACATGGGTAATTTGTGTCCTGAAAACCCAGTAGCAGACTGATCTGTACGTGACAGTGAGACTGGGGGAGAAGAGATGATGGAGAATTTGCAGAGTATTTACACTTAAAGGAATAGTTTGTCCATACACAATGTAAATTCTAAACAGTACTCATCTCCCTCAGCTCTCAAAAGTCAGTGATGGTAACATTTTGCAATTTATGTACAGTCATTGTGTGCCGATGTCACTTATGTGATGCATTTACGTCAAGGAAAGTTAAGTAACTAATATACGTATTCTAACCAAAAACATGATCTCTTTTTTCTAAACCTAACCAACTACTCTTGTTGCGTGAATCTAACAATATCAACCATTACACAACATCAACCACTTGTTGCAATGTGTTTCAGCTGTGTGTCACATAGATACACTGAAGGGTACTGTACATTGCTATGAGATGCTGAGGGGTGCGATAAAGCGTTGGTATCTGACAACTTGGGAATGAGAACAGGTTGACATTTTAAAACCTTTTGCCTGTCTTTTTTTGGGGGGCCACTCTGCTCTCCTTAATGCCATACAATTTTTTTTTTTTTTTTCCTGGAACCACATGGAGCCTAGGGAGGTGAGCACTATAAGCAATTGATACTGATTTTGGATGAACTATTCCTTTAAGACAGTTCCCCAGACAGGAAAGGGAAGTCAAAGTACTTAGAGGCTGATATAAATTCTTTATGTTCTCTGCTACAAAATATGTTTTATGTTCTATAAATGCTTGAAAGGTGACAAACCCCACTGCATCAGCTCAGCAGAGGAGTGATATATATCGAGTGAGTAAAATGTTTGACCGCCCAGAAGTGTGCACCCTATTTCCTGAAGAGGTAAAAGCAGGATTAGAGAGTGAAGGAGGGAAAATGGAAATGCTTGAGGAAAAGGATCTGGTTGTGTTCCTCCTCATGGATTAAAGAAACACAGTGTTTGACACAACACAACATCCAGAGAACTTCATGCATTTCAATAGCAGGCAGGCCTCTCACATCCACATGGCTGCATGGCCTCTGGTTGACCCACACATACACACATGCAGGGCTACAGTGAGGAATGTAGCGGGGCTTTCCGGGTGGCTCGGTGACCTGCTGACCTTTGGAGAGCCTCTGGGATATCTAAACATGTAAACACACTCCTCCTCCTCCTCCTCCTCCTCCTCATCATCTTCATCTTCCTCTCCTCTCTGCTGGTCTAAAGATGCCTGACCTGGAGCCTGGGTGGCAAACTCAGTCATCACCTCATCACACGCACACACTGGACACCACCCTCTCTCAGATCCTCTTCCACACTCACACCTCCATGCAGCACATTACAGCAGTTGTTTTCTGCTGGTGTTGTAAGTTACTGTGTTGGTCAACCTACTTTTTTAAGCCTCCCGTGTCTTCTTCTGCTGCCGTTAGTGGTTTTCTACATTTCCACTATCCAACTACTGAGAATGTGTTTTCAGCTGTGTTTTAGACTCATACTTTCGACCTCTCCACAGGGCATGCTGCTTTGTGAACTGGCACTGGACGTTGGAATTGGATATTAATTGTCAGGTGTGGAATCCCATGAACATAAGTCCTAGGGATACTGGGCTGGAATTTTTAAATATTTCCTAATTCTTGCAACAAAAAAAATGCTAGAAGTTGGTCTCTATCTTCATTCAGTTTCTTTATTCCTCTCTTAGTAATTATTGCAGCCCACTCACCGAAAGAAAATGTTGGCATTGTAGGTTTCTACAAACCACAAACAAGGTTTTAATTGGCATTCATACCTGGGTCAAATGACTCTGCCGTAGTCATGGGTATTTATTGCCTCAGGCTCAGATTGGCATAGATGGGAACACAACACTCGAGTAATTTTAGCTCCTTTACTGGTAAGATGCAGTGACGAGCCACCTCAAAATACCGTCCATCTCTGCCCAAGCAGCGCTCAAACATTGATCAAATTTAGTCTGCACCGAGTTTGAAAGAGAGACTGAATAAATAAGAGATATATATCAAAAAAAGTAACCACAATATTTTTTTTAGGCCTCCATGCTCCTCTGTACTGTTACTGTTACTGCTACTACCTATTCTCCAGCCTGTTAGTGACATTGACCGTGACACACGCAGCGAGTTTACCCACTGAAAATAGCACATGCTAATTTTGGTGAAAAGGGGTATTAGTGAGTCAGTGCTGTGTTTACAGAAAAGTGGTTGTTTTTCACTGAGATATCACTGTGTTTCCAGTGG